AGCCGCATTTTTGGAACCTATGGGGGCCATTTCTGTGGCCGTTCCGAAACAAGGTTCAATGGAATTGGGGAGGCAAAATTGGGTCCCCCAAAAACACAAATTGAGACCCAAAATTGCTGCCAGTTTTTGAGCCCCTCTTTTGACACGATTTGCTCACCGCGTGATGCTATGTCAAAATACACTAATCCAGCGTGCCAGGTTGAAACATTGGAGGCTCACATGACGAGACCGTTTTTCCAACCTAAATCAAGCCCCATTTCCAGGCCCATGAAACCACGCAGAAGTCAAAGTCACATCCCAAATTGCGCCTCGTGTTGTTCAAAAAGCTCCGCTGCTGCTACGCATTGGAAAATACCAGATATGTGTGTGCGAGGGTGTAGTATTGCGTCAATGTGATTTAATTATAAGGATGAGCGTCGTTTGGCGTTGGGAACCATTTGATGCAAGGTGAACTTGTATTTTGTGAGGTCGCACTTTATTTTGTATCGGATTCTTTGCATATGACACCTGCATGTTCATGGTGATCAGATTACCATGCACATATCTATGTATATTCTCTGCTGTTCTGGCAAGATTGTGTAAATTCTATGGCGTTGCCAATCGTTGTGTATATTCGGCAGAGTGCGATGGATGCGCTTGTCGGGAGTGTCATATTCATTGTCCGACCCGATGGTGTGAGAGTTGCCATTGACAATGGTATCTATTGGAGCGCATTGAATTTGGACGGGTGTTGAGCGAGAGAAGCTGGTTTTCGATTTTGGAAATATCTGAGTTGATGTATTCGACACCTACATGTCCATGGTGATTGGATCACCATGTCCCTGCAAACACCTGATGTTGCTTCTGTGTGGGGACCCACGCAATTCCTCTAGGTGGTACCGCGGAGGGGGGACAGCGAAACGTGGGGATTACCACAAAGTTGTCTGACGCGGCAGTAAACTTGACAGTGCATTTTGTGTGCGAAAGTACGCAATTCCTCTAGGCGGGACCGCAGCGGGACCGCCGGGACCGCAAAACGTGGGAATTCCCACGATTCCAGGTTGCAGGCGGGACCGGTTCCGCCGACGGCGGGACCACTTTACTTGTAAATTTATAAGAGCGGGACCACATACCCCGTTTGGGCCTTATAATAATAGGTCAGGTGATGTTTTGGAGGGTGTGAGGATTTTTCTGAGGATGTCTTGTCTACCTAATTAGCGTTGTATCCCTGGCTGTCTTCTAAATGGGGTCTCTGGACTGCGCGTCTCTTCCAAGGTTTTGTCTTTGATATGGCGCTTGCAAGTCTGACGTTTCCAGCTTTCACTCCTACAGCTTCGCGCTGTGCTGACAAGCGGGTTTGAAGATCGTAGGTGTGCCCTTTTCATCGGGAGGAAGAAAGAAGGTTTTTTCCCGTTTGGTGTTTTGTACATAGCATCATGCTCCGCCGCCCTTATTTCGCGTGGCCTGCGTGGCGGATCGTATTTCAAGTCGGAATAAATTAAGTTCTTTTAAGGCAAACCAGCTGCTCCGCGATCCGCCATGTCATTCGTGTGCAGCCTGTCAGGAGCTAAGGGGAGAGGGTTGGAGTACCTAGTACCTAGTCAGGAGGAAGAACTTTTATCCTGGTGTTGTAAGGGTCGTAGGTTGGCCTGTGAGGGTCGTAGCAGAGTCGTGGTGTGACTTTGAAGGGTCGTAGGTCGGCGTGTAAAGGTTGCAGCTGCGCTTATGGAAAGCGGGTTTGGGGGTTGTTTTGGACTTTGAAGGTGGTAGGGTGGGCTGTAAGGGTCGTAGCTGCATTCCTGACAAGTGGGTTTGAAGAGCGTATAGGTGTGGACTTTAAAGGTCTTAGGGCTTTAGGGTGGCCTGTGAAGGGCGTCAAGTTGAGGCCCATGTCTAGCCCTTCAAAACAGCTCATATTTTGGTCGCGTTCATTTGGGCCTCCCTAGTAGCCTTTGGATTCACATGAAAAGCATGTGATTACCTGAATGTTGAGGCCCTGCGGTTCAAGAGAAAAGTGAGTGAGTTTTCAGTCGCCGCTTTGCATAATTGCAATGATGGCGACAACTTTTTGCATGAATGGATTTCCCCTTTGAAAATTTGCGATGTGGTGGATTGTGAAAAAGGTGCAAATGTCCCAAAGTCAGAGAACGAAAGCAAGCTGGATGTGAATGTCCAACAGCAAATCTGGGGGACGCCATGGACGCCCGAAGAGTTTGTTGAAAGAGCGGTTGCAGCAGGACACCCAATCTCCTTCCAGTGCTACCTGCCTGAGACCCTGAGGTCCTGCATGTCAAAAAGCTTGGGCATGACCTCTGCCGATCGCATTGATCCCAGGCTTTGAAATTCTGGTTGAGGAGATCGTTGGAGCTCCGACCGGCAGAGACTGATCTGCATGCTCGATTGGACCCTGGTGTGGAGGAAGTTGTGCGCACGAAGCGCATACTGCTTTGGAAGGAGATGCTGGAAAGCATCAATTATCCTGATATCGGCGTCGTGGAGGAGTTCTGTGATGGGGCCACCCTGACCGGGCCCACTTTTGAGACAGGCCTATGGCCGAAGCAATTCACACCTGTGACGCTGACCGAAGGGGAGCTGCGACAGCAAGCCGTTGCGCAGAGATATGGTTTGACCTATGATCAGATCGTTTTCTTCAATGAGGAGATAGCGCAGTCTGTGTGGCAGCAGACCTTGGATGAGGTCACCAAAGGTGAGCTGGAAGGGCCATTGCCCCTGGCAGAGATCCCCTCGGACATCCCCCTCAGTAAGAGGTTTGGAGTTGAGCAAGGCGGAAAGATCCGCTGCGTGGACGATTTCTCAGCATCAGGGATTAACGCAACCGCTCAACCACTGGAAAGCCCAAAGCCGCATACACTGGACGTCGTGGCCGGGATGTTATCAACATTGATGCACCTCGGCCTTTCTGGAGAAAGGTGGAACATCAGGAGCTTCGATTTGAAGAGCGCCGGCCTACCGACAGTGCGCAGTGCATCCCAGGTCACGCAAGTATGCTGTGATCGTTGTAGGTGACCCCAACACCAAAACTCTGCAAGCTTTCCGTTTGAAAGCCCTCCCATTTGGGAGTGTGAAGTCTGTGCATTCCTTTTTACGGGTGTCACACAGCATCTGGGCGGTCTTGACGACCATCTTCATGGTGATTACAACGAATTATTTTTACGATTTGATTTCTTTGGCCACTATGGCGGAATCTCAATCGGTGGATTTCACTGTGAAAGCGGTGTTTAGGATGTTGGGCTGGAAGTTTGCGGAAGATGGCCCTAAAGCACCGCCATTCTCTCCCACAGTTACAGCACTGGGGGTGTCAGTGGATGTCAGCGACCTACATCAAGGACTTGTCCTGATCGACAACACTGAAAAGCGGGCACTGGAGTTGCTGGACACCATTTTAAGTGTCATTCAGTCCGGTCGTATGACCAAAAAGGAAGCTCTGCGGCTGAGAGGCCGTATGCAGTTCGCGTCAGGCCAAATCTTTGGCCGTGTGGCTAAACGTTGCCTCTCTGCGGTGACACAGCACGCATACGACACTGGCGATGGCAGGTTGTCAGATGTCCTGTTGACATCCCTGGAGCGTTTGTGTGGGCTGCTGCAGATGAAGGTCCCTAGGACTTTGACCAAGAAGAGCACCATGACCTGGTTCATCTTCACAGACGCATCCCATGAAAGCGGCGGAGATTTTTCTGTAGCTGGAGTAGGTGCAGTCCTGGTGAATAGTTTGGGTGAGAAGGTAAACTTCTTTTCCGAAAGACTTGATGAAGATTTGTTGAAAAAGATCAATGTGTCGAAAAGAAAGACGATTATTTTCGAATGTGAGTTTTTCGCGGTCTTCTGCGCAATGTGGCTTTGGAAGGAGATGCTCGCTGGATGTAACATTGTGATCCACACTGATAACGACGGTGTACGGGATGCATTCATCTCCTGTCACACCACCAGTGACAATGCCCCACCAATTCTCAACGCCTGTCTTCAACTGGAATTTGAACAATCTTGGAATGCCTGGATTACAAGAGCACCGACGGAGTCAAACATTGCCGACGAACCTTCACGTTTTGATGTGTCATTTTTACTCCAATGTGGTTGTGCCAGAACTTTCTTTGACCCATGTTCGATATGGCAACTCATGTCGAATGAGAAATGGGGAGGCACCACGACCTGAATTGCCAACCCCACATGGTCAAAAAAATGTATGCCAGCAGATTTACTTGCCAGTGAGGGTCGTCATTCAGAAACTTAATGATGCAAACCGTAAGCAAACAATTTAAGACTGTGAATGAAGTGGTGAATGCATATGAACCAACCGAACGCCGTTTTCCCTCAAGTTCATTGTGAACGTCAATTGTCAATGTGACACATGTATTTCTATGACATTCTATGTCTCAATGTTGTCATGTTCAACATTTCTTTTGTTTTTGAAATTTTTGCGTCCCACCCTCAACCACCCAATGAGGGGTTGGGGGTGCCATGCCCAAAGCAAGGCACCACGACCTGAATTGCCAACCCCACATGGTCAAAAAAATGTATGCAGATTTACTTGCCAGTGAGGGTCGTCATTCAAAGGCTCAATCCACAATGTTGTGCCACTAAAAAAATTGCTTGACGCCTGTTCGTTCATGTTTTTGTTTGTATGCATTTAGGTGACCAGGACAGAAACACATGTGTACAATATGGGCATGATGGTCATCACATAATTTACACATTGCGTGACGACGCAGTGAAAGGTATGTCTTTATCAACTATGGGACGGTTGTTGCCTCTTCCATCTACTTGATCACACGTTAAACAACCGCGTAGCGCATATTTCCCTGGCGGCACGTGTTTGGGAAATGGTTTGTGATTTCCAGCGTGGCCAGCGAATCTCGTTTTTTTCCCCTCCATTTCTCAACGACACTGTAGGAAATTGGATGTGCACCTGAGACATTTTTTGCAATCTTACTTGGTCTTTCCGCTGCAACGTCCAAGCCAAGTTTGGGTCGGTAGATTGCGATGGTTGGGTGAGTTGGTTTGGCATGATACAGCCGACCACCCAATCTTTCGAGACGCGAGGGCCAGAAGTGCGAAGTGCTGACATCGTGCAAGCCCCAAACTGGGCCAAAATGCAACGGGAAAACTTATTGGAATGTATTCTCGACAAACGTGAAAACAACCATTTTAGAAAAGTGCAGTCTGCATTCGTTGCAGCAGGTTCTGAGAGATGCTTTGGACAAACTCCGCAACACAGTTCCTCGAAAACTCAAGGACATTCATTTGATTTGTTGGACATCAAACAATTTTTCGCACACAATCTATTGGTTTTGATGCGAGGAGCTTCGGGATAGTGTGGAAGCAGACTTGAAACAGTGCGCCCTTTTGGACAATGTTTGGTTTGAACAGTTTTATATCCGTGAAAAATTGAGCAGACTGTTGCAAAATAATGTGATTCTTGTCAGGTTTGAGTCTTGATTGCATTTCCGCCGCAGATTGGACAATTTACCTGCATCTGGAGCTGGTGTCGATGCCACGGATTTTTTCCTGTCCTTCAAGCTAGCCTGTGAAGCTGTCGGCTGGTTGCTGAGAAAAATTCAGCAGACTGGTCCGACTGGTTTTGAATTTTTCCAATGCATTTCCAACATCTCAAAATGTATCATATATCACCAGCATTGAACACTTGCTAAGGTCTACCGAAGGTCGTGGTCATTGCTCTTGAGGCCAGTTTCAATATTTTGCGAATTGGTAAGTGGCTGAATCACTAAAATTGCATGCAGGGAAGTCTCCTTGGGCATAGTGTGCCCATTCTAGCAGGGTGGGCAACATGAAATGCTTTAGGATTCAATAATGTGCGAAGATGGCTAGAATCACGCGTGTTCGAACAAATTTCGCATAATTTCGTTCCCAGACGTGATTGTTTCGAAACGGGCACGTTTTTTGAAATTTTGTGACACCGCTCTTGCTACGCCCAGAGAGATCTCTTGACAAATGTGCACCTTTTTTTCGTTATCGGCCCCCCGTTTGACTTGGTGGGATTTGATGGAATTTAGTGGAATTATACAATTAAATGTCAATAACATGATTGTCGCACTTGCAGCTGTGCTTGCAATGCTGATTTTGATCAATGGCATGCAATTTCCTCGCCCGACAACATTTCACTGCTGGAAATGGAACGTTGACAAGACAAGTAAGATCCAGCGCACACATCGTTTTCGCCTAGCATGCATCGCTTGAACTGAAGGCGATCCAGAAGCAGATAACTTATGGTTTCCTCACTGGCAAAGGCAAGTTTCGATAAATGCATCATGGTTTGCAACTTTACTTGAAACGAGAGCCAGTGAAGAATTTGTGGAAAATCAGAGTTTGTTCATAGTCTGAGAGAAGCAGATCGTGTCCTGGAAGGCTCAGACCCATTCAAACCAGAGTCGGGAAGGCATTTGATCGTGTGGTCCTCTGCCCTCTGCGATCCTCTGCGCTTCTTTGGGATGTTTGACGTGTCTCAAGACTTCATACTTGAACATGCACCCGCCTCGGCCTCGCCTTTCTAAGGATGCTGTAATAGACTCTGTGTGCAACTGTGCCGAGTCTGCAGATGACACGGTAAAGAACCCAGTCAAGATACTTGCAGCTCCATTCACTTCAAGAGATATCCAGATCGTTTCATAGTCAGCTTAGTCAACCAGAAAACACGAGACAGTAAATAACAGTAAAGGCAAGGGTTGCGAATTTTGTGACGATACCACTGCCGCCACTGCCTAGGTTCAAATGCACATGATCAGCACCCTCAATGCAGCAGTGACATCGCAGGTGTGTGAGGCGAAGCATTTGACGGCTTTGTGGCTTTGTTTTCTGGTTGTTTTTGCAATTTTGCATTCCAATTTAGAAATGCTTGCATTGTCGGGTAACTACGGTAGCAACTCAGACCGCATGTGAAGGCATTGAAAAATATGCTCCATGGAGCTCTCAAGCATTCTCAAAGTGTATTCAAAGAGGTCTTGAACAAACGCAAAAAAATACCACAACAGTACTGATCATGCTGAAGATACTCTTAACCAAATCAACTGTCACGAAACACCCCGCAGAACAACTTTGGAAAGACGGAAAGGCAGTTTGGAAGTCTGATTGAAATTTACGAAACAAAATGTAGAAACACATGCCGAGCCGCCTATGGTATTTCGGTACGACAAAACCTGCATTTAGTCAATTCAGTCTTGTGGCTGAACATTCTAAGAGTGTTTTGATGGTGCTCCATATTGACTCCTGGAGTTGCTGCAGGTCCATGGTCAAAGCCTCATGCTTGCCGTGGATACCTGCATGAAACTCTACAGAGTCGGGGCCGCAAGCTGCAAGATGCCAAAGATGCTTTGGAGCATTCGCAAAGATATCGAGTGGTCGAGTATGTTCTTTTGACTATTATTTCATCATCATTTTGGCGCAGCAGAGGACTCCAGAAGCCAGTCCAACCAGAGAATGGCTCAAACAGCACTGACGCAGATGCTGTCTGCGGTAGCCCCAAAGTTTGCAAGATGCAAAATGAGATTGACAAAATTCACGGAGCATTCTATCTTTTTTTTTAAATCTTTCAGAGGCAATTGCAGCCATTTTGCATCAGGTCATTACTCAGCGGATGGAGTTGAGTTCAGCTGACATGCCGCTTTGACCTGGATTTGCAAAGTCTCACTGTTTTCAAAATGTTTTTGATCTAGTCTGATCAAGTCTGATCAAGTGCTCGGAGTGTTGTTTTTCTTCTTGTGCGGAGGTCCAGCCGAGCTGATGAAGCTTGGAATGCTGGCTCTCGGCAGTGACTCGTTGTTTGAAAAGCGAAGACATTTCATCACATGTCCCATTACCTTGTTTCAAAATAGAATGTACAATTTGTTTCCCCAACAGCAGAATGCTTTGGGGTCTTCAGCCATAGTAAAGGTTTCGGAGCAGACCGGAGCAGCTTCAAAACTGATTCCCCCAAAGTTCCCAGGTTCCAAGTACAGGTTCCCAGTACAGGTTCCCAAGTAAAGGTTCCCAGGTTCCCAAGTAAAGGTTCCCAAGGTTCCCAAGGTTCCCTCAAGGTTCCCAAGGTTGCCAAGGTTCCTCAAGGTTCCCTCAAGGTGCCCAAAAGGTTCCCAAAAGGTTCCCTCAAGGTTCCTTCAAGGTTCCCTGCAAGGTTAAGTTTCCAGGTAAAGGTTGTCAAGATTCCCAAGATTATTATGTAAGGTTCCCAAGTAAACGTGGTCCAGGTTCCCAAGGTTGTATTGTAAAGGTTCCCTCAAGGTTCCCAAGGTTACATTGTACAAGGTTCTCACGGTTTCCAAGGTTATATTGTCAAGGTTTCCTCAAGCTTTCCAAGGTTGTATTGTAAAGGTTCCCTCAAGGTTCCCAAGGTTGCATTGTACAAGGTTCTCACGGTTTCCAAGGTTATATTGTCATATATTGTCAAGGTTTCCTCAAGCTTTCCAAGGTTGTATTGTAAAGGTTTCCTCAAGGTTCCCAAGGTTACATTGTACAAGGTTCTCAAGGGTTCCAAGGTTATATTGTCAAGGTTTCCTCAAGCTTTCCAAGGTTGTATTGTAAAGGTTCCCTCAAGGTTCCCAAGGTTACATTGTAAAAGGTTCTCAAGGGTTCCAAGGTTATATTGTCAACGTTTCCTCAAGCTTTCCGAGGTTGCATTTGCATTGTAAAGGTTCCCTCAAGATTCCCAAGTTTCCCAAGCAAAGGTTGTCAAGGTTCCCAAGGTTGTATCTCAAGGTCCCCAAGGTTATTATGCAAAGGTTCCCAAGTAGTAATATTCGTCGTAAAATATTAATTTCTTTAAGAAATTTGAATGCGGCTACACGCGCGGAACCCGCGCAGAACAACACGCGCGGAACCCGCGCAAAATGCAGACGCGCATAACGCGCGGAAACCGCGCGAAACGTAGACGCGCGGAACCCGTGCATACTCTTAATACTTCTAGTAGTAGTTGTAGTAGTAGCAGTAGTAGCAGGAGTAGTAGTAATAAAAATATCGTAGATGTAGTAGAAATGATACTAATCGTAATATTGACTAGATTACAATTAGTAGAAGTAGTAATAATATTCGTCGTAATATTTTAAGTTCTTTAAGAAATTTGAATGCGACCACGCGCGCGGCACTGGCGCAGAACAACACGGGCGGAACCCGCGCGAAACGCAGACGCGCGGAACCCGCACGTACTATTAATACTTCTAGTAGTAGTAGTAGTAGTAGTAGTAGTAGTAGTAGCAGTAGCAGTAGCAGTAGCAGTAGTAGTAATAATAAAAATAATATCGTACTCATCACCCATATCGGCCTGCCAGACAAAACCGACATATGCCAAAGGTTTGGTTGCTCTGTTGGACGGAGGCGGAACAGAGCAACTCGAACAAAGCAACTAGAACCCGAAAACCACTCTTTTCCAAGCTATTTGCTCTATGAAACGATTGGTTTCTCTGTTTGACGCAGGCGAACAGAGCAACTAAGTCCCTACCTGTCAGGTGAGATTTGTTGGATCATATGTTATCCCTTCTCTTCCTCCTTCTTCCACCGGACCTCAACTTCTAAAGAAATCGGTCAAGATGGGGATCGCACGAATCAGTGTTGTTTCTGGAAGATTTGGAGCATAAAGTTTGCGTGCTCCCACTGTAATTTCCCAACGTTCACGGCGCGCACTGGAAGGAGAAGCTGGCAGCAATGTTCCAATAAGAAGGGTGGCTTGGCCCGATGAAGGCCGTGCGGCAGGGTGACAGGGACACCTTCACCTATGTGTCTGGGCACACCAGGACGTGCAGCTTGTATTGCTATCTTCGTATGGCTTTCGACTTGCAGCTGGAGCTTCCGAAGTGGATGCGGTCTATGGCCCAGTTTGTGCCTGTCATGGTCGTGAAGGAGCCGGTGTCAGTTGCAGATCGGCAGAAAAAGATGCAAATACAAAAACAGATGTAAATACAAAACGCAAAAAAAACATTTGAAAAAAACAAGGCAATATTTTTCGAACGCTGATTCATTGCTACTGGTGCATAACTCGCCTTCTTGCGTTTTTAAACTCTTTTATACTGGAGAAAACAAACCTAGAAGAGCACAATTTTCAAACCTTACGCAAAGCGCACCGGGTCTGCAAAAGGACATAAGTAAAGAACGATAATACACAAAATATCGACAAACTTTAAGCATGTTGTTTAGATGTCAGAATGTATGGGAGATGCAATGCCAACACAATTTAAATAAAATCACATGGAACGCTCTATGAACACTTCAAGCAAACGCATTTGAAAAACCAACAAAAGCGAAGCGCCACTAAAAAAACGGCATAGCATGAAAACATGAGGTAAAAAATTACGTAAGTGTAGTTGCACTTGAGTGCCATGCGTACAAGAGACATGTACCTGGTGACAATTTACATATCATTATCCATACCAAGACATGCAGAATTTATTTTCCATCATCGATTACCTGTGCCTTCATGTAATTATTTTTCAAAAAAAGAACATATTTCAAAAATATATCCGTGTAGACAAGCGAGAAATTTACAACTCATACCAAAACTATTTACATCTTTAAGGTCTGATCTAAAGAAAGTCCAGAGACGAAACAAATCTGTATAGTTTTTCAAACCTTGATTTCTACCCAGAATGGACAGGTGGATTCTGGAATCCGGGACCCGGATCCCGGGACCCAGATGCAGGAATCTAAATCCGCGATTATTTTTATCCAAAAATAAACATATATAGCTAAATTCAAGACATGAAAACGTAGAATCTGACAAATATCTAATCGTGGTTTGATTTTTTATTGAACGCGGTCATTGCTAGCAGTGAACAATCTATCTTATTGCTTTGTTGAACACTATCTATACGAACCAAGAAGAACACAATTTTCGGACCTTACGCAAATCGCGCCGAATTTTGAAAAGGACGTAAGTAAAGAACGATAATACACAAAATATCGACAAACTTTAAGCCTGTTGTTTAGATGTCAGACTGTATGCGAGATGCAATGCCAGAACGCAATTCAAATAAAATCACATGGAACACTTTATGAACACTTCAAGCAAACGCATTTGAAAAACCAGCGACAAAAGCGAAGCGTAAGCGGCATAGCATGAAAACATGAGGTAAAAAATCACGTAAGTGTAGTTGCACCTGAGTGCCATGCGTACAAGAGACATGTACCTGGTGACAATATACATATCATTATCCATACCAAGACATGCAGAATTTATTTTCCATCATCGATTACCTGTGTCTTCATGTAATTATTTTTTCAAAAAAAGAACATATTTTAAAAATACATCCGTGTAGACAAGCGAGAAATGTACAACTCATACCAAAACTATTTACATCTATAAGGTCTGATCTAAAGAAAGTCCAGAGACGAAACAAATCTGTATAGTTTTTCAAACCTTGATTTCTACCTAGAATGGACAGGTGGATTCTGGAATCCGGGACCCGGATCCCGGGACCCAGATGCAGGAATCTAAATCCGCGATTATTTTTATCCAAAAATAAACATATATAGCTAAATTCAAGACATGAAAACGTAGAATCTGACAAATATCTAATCGTGGTTTGTTTTTTTTATTGAACGCGGTCATTGCTAGTAGTGAACAATCTATCTTATTGCTTTGTTGAACACTATCTATACGAAGCCAAGAAGAACACAATTTTCGGACCTTACGCAAATCGCGCCGAATTTTGAAAAGGACGTAAGTAAAGAACGATAATACACAAAATATCGACAAACTTTAAGCCTGTTGTTTAGATGTCAGAATGTATGCGAGATGCAATGCCAGAACACAATTCAAATAAAATCACATGGAACACTTTATGAACACTTCAAGCAAACGCATTTGAAAAACCAACAAAAGCGAAGCACCACTAAAAAAGCGGTATAGCATGAAAACATGAGGTAAAAAATTACGTAAGTGCAGTTGTATCTGAGTGCCATGCGTACAAGAGACATGTACCTGGTAACAAAATACATATCATTATCCATACCTAAGACATGCAGAATTTATTTTCCATCATCGATTACCTGTGTCTTCATGTATTTTTTTTCAAAAAAAGAACATATATCAAAAATACATCCGTGTAGACAAGCGAGAAATGTACAACTCATACCAAAACTATTTACATCTATAAGGTCTGATCTAAAGAAAGTCCAGAGACGAAACAAATCTGTATAGTTTTTCAAACCTCGATTTCTACCCAGAATGGACAGGTGGATTCTGGAATCCGGGACCCGGATCCCGGGACCCAGATGCAGGAATCTAAATCCGCGATTATTTTTATCCAAAAATAAACATATATAGCTAAATTCAAGACATGAAAACGTAGAATCTGACAAATATCTAATCGTGGTTTTATTTGTTTTTATTGAACGCGGTCATTGCTAGCAGTGAACAATCTATCTTATTGCTTTGTTGAACACTATCTATACGAAGCAAGAAGAACACAATTTTCGGACCTCACGCAAATCGCGCCGAATTTTGAAAAGGACGTAAGTAAAGAACGATAATACACAAAAGATCGACAAATTTTAAGCCTGTTGTTAAGATGTCAGAGTGTATGCGAGATGCAATGCCAGAACACAATTCAAATAAAATCACATGGAACACCCTATGAACACTTCAAGCAAACGCATTTGAAAAACCAACAAAAGCGAAGCGCCACTAAAAAAGCGGTATAGCATGAAAACATGAGGTAAAAAATAACGTAAGTGTAGTTGCACCTGAGTGCCATGCGTATAAGAGACATGTACCTGGTGACATGCACTATGTCTAGATCCATCTAAATCCTCAGAATCTTAGGTCTACAAGCATCAATGTTTTGGGGACGTCGGTTTAAATATATTTAGTGTTAAGGGGGACCCATCCCCCCCTTAAGGGGGGGTATGTACTATTAATACTTCTAGTAATAATAGTAGTAGTAGTAGTAGCAGCAGCAACAGTAGTAGTAGCAATAATAGCAATAGTAGCAATAGTAGCAGCAGAAGCAGCAGCAGCAGCAGGAGGAGGCAGAGGAGTAGTAGTAGTAGTAGTATAGTAGGGGTAGTAGTGGTAGTAGTGGTGGTGGTGGTGGTAGTAGTAGTAGTGGTAGTGGCAGTAGTAGTAGTAGTAGTAGTAGTAGTAGTAGTAGTAGTAGTAGTAGTGGTAGTGGTAGTGGTAGTAGTAGTAGTAGTATTAGTAGTAGGGGAGGCCGGCGGGCAGGACGGCGCAAAAATGCACTGCATTGTTTGGTCATGAAACAAAAATTACCGCGCTTATATGGAATTACTGTTTGGGATCTACAGCCGCTGCTTTCTTGCTGTTGGGGATATTCTTTGGGCTTATTTCTTTTGTTTGGTGAGAACAAAGTTGCTGCCATTCAGGAAAGAAGACAAGGTAATTACAACAGAAAGAGTCAAGAGACATTTGATTGGATGTTAACAAAATGATTTCATAAGGAGTCATTGCATGCAAAAAGACGTGCATATCTTCTTCCAAAGAGTTGGCGAAACCGATCCAAAAATAGAGTTTTTTGCAATCGGCCAATGAAAATTAATGAACATCAAAACCTCATGGGCTCGAAGTGAGTAGTGACATGACGATGTCCAAGATGGCCTGGGCTATTCTAAGAACGTAGTTGACTCTTGATACTCTTGCTCACACTTGCCGGCTGCCTGACAGTTTTTATAACATCTTCGTATCCGGATTGTTCTCAGCGTCTGCTTCAAGGCATGGTGTTGGTGCCGCTACATCCGAGCAATTAGCAGCAGTGGTTGCAGCTGCGCCTCCTGCATTTGTCACGGTCTCAGCGGTCCCATTTCGATCAATGATTAAGGTCGATGTGACATGGCATGGAAATGCAAGTCACCATGTCCAGGCAAATGCAAATGCAGATTTGGCACAGATGCCAAAAGGCTGCAAATCATGCTGAGATGTCTTTGCACGGGTCAGCATAAATCAAGTAAGTTGGCTATGCAGTTGTTTCCACAAGCTTCTCTGACAGGGCAGCTGCTAAACGAGTGGATGTCATCATATCTCAACGCCAAGATCGACAAACTTGTACCTTGGCTTCGGGAACAATTTTTGGATTGGGCAAGAACAATCGAGAACATATCAGACCACAAAGCTGAGGTTTGGAGCGGGAATGGCGAAAATGGCGTGAAGGGTGAGGTTCCATTGGCACTTGGATTTGACTGCAATTAGAAACCTGGAAAGGTTACGTTTTTGCACTCTCAAGCTTTTAAAAACAGTCTTCTGGTCCAACATAATGTTGAAAGTCCCAAACCTTGGAAGGCTGCGCCTGGAAAGTTTGGATGGTGTGTCTGCACCTTAGATGTTTCTGCACGAGTTTGCCATTTCCTGGTTGTGGCGCATGTCAAAAGCGGGCGATCGAAACTCTTTGCCCTCCCGAGGTGGTCTGTCGAGCACCTGCCAATCATTACTGTGTTGACACTCGTGACTCGGTTTGCGGGCATGCGTGCAAGTATCGAAATCTGGAGCGTTTGTCTCTGGTGGAAAAGTACTACGGCAAGCGAGATGAGGCCGATTGGCAGGGCAAGTGTTCCGTCCCACGTCGTTTGACTAGCAGCTCGTTGCTCTGGTAAGTATCACTGGAGAGCAAAACAACTTTGACAAACAGCCCTAACGTACAAGCACTCAGACCGGCAAGATTTCTTCACTTCAGCCCCAGCATGAATGTCATAGAAAGCAGCGAGAAAAAAGAACAGTGGATTGCACATGTCATTTTGATTGTGCTCCTCTTGTTGAAAGAAGCGCAACGCCAATGTTCAAAGCGCTCCCAGTGAAATTATTGGCGTGTTGACTTCAACTCAACATGTTTATGGCGGGTTCTGGTATGTGTTAGTTTTTCTTGCAGAAGATCCCAGTACAATACAGCTCAGCTATGCGTATGGCGTTGAATTCGGAAGACATCCCTTTCCTTTGTTCTGTCAAGGAGCTGCATTTGTTTGCTGCCCTTTTGACATGTTGACACCAAATGACACCAATGCATTGTTCGCTTGCATAAAAGCGAGGAAAGTTGAGCTGCGGGCTGAAGTTCTTTTGTACTCTAATTATGCCTTTGCTTGCCATTGTCTGCTGTAAATGTATGTAAATGTCATATGTTCCCTGCTGCAAAGCATTAAGATGCGTTTCTGAAGGTGTGCTGGCTTTATACTATATGATATGCATGCATTATATATACATTCAAACAGTAATACAGTGTGTATAGATACATAGGTTATATAGATTAGATTAGATTAGATTAGATTAGATAGATTAGATTGATTAGATAGATTCGATAGATTAGATTGATTAGATAGATTCGATAGATTAGATGGATTAGATCGATTAGATGGATTAGATAGATTAGAGCGAGCAGATAGATTAGATAGACTAGATAGACTAGATGGATTAGATAGATTAGATAAGATAGATAAGATAGATTAGATAGATTAGATAGATTAGATAGATTAGATAGATTAGATCCAATAGATAGATTAGATAGATTAGATACAATAGTCCAGATATATTAGATAGATTATATAGATAGATCGGATTAGATTAGATTAGATTGGATTAGATTAGATTGGATTGGATTATAATATATGTATATATATATGCTTTGCAATATATGTATATGTATACATAAGACATGTATATATGGTACCCTCCACCTTTCTACAATTTTATCGAGAAAGACTTCAGGTCCCACGCAGCGTCTGCTGGATCCTACTCTCATGCGCTTTGTTTTTGGGGCTGCAATGGCTTGATACAAACCCTACGCATCAAGGAGTTTCAAACATTCTATGCCCGTCTATGCCATCGGTTGAACACTTGAGCCAAGTTTCTTGCAGGTGGCCATGAGCTCTCCATCAGCAACTTGGCTGAAGATCCAAAGCTTCACAACTTGCTTCTGGAAAAGTCTATGGAATCCTGCAACTCAGGTTGCCTCAACTCCAGCCATAGTTTCGCAATCCTCCAGGGATGCCGTCTCACAGAGAGATGAGGCTGGGCAGTTTCTCATCATTTATGGGCTTTATATGCTTTCAGTCACTTGCAAGTTATTTGGCAAAAGGTTTTCCAACAAGCATTACCATGCATGTGTGATAGTTTAGGTTTATTTCCTTGCAAGTCCTGTTGCAGGTTTGTTAATGTTGCACTCACAGACAGGCAGTCTTTGTTTTGTGATTGATATAAATCAAGTGTCCATGTCGAGGCCTTGGCAGACGTTGCAGATCAGTCCCTGAACATTTATCATCAGGCCTTGTGAGAAAAAGAGGTTAAGCCAGGCTTGCTTGGAGCTGGTGAGACTCAAACTACTTGGTCCTGGATGCTTCTTGTTGCAAACCTACATGCTAGGTTGCAGCTTCCATCCTCAAATTAATGCATTGCATGGAGGATGCTATCGTCATTCTCACCTATCTAATCAACAGCAGTGCGAAGGCTGGGATTCATGAAAGCAATTGAGTGCACCATTGCCCTGACCAACCGTTCTGAAGTGTTGCGAGGAAGTGCCGCAGAACCAGCCTGATTCAAGAGGGATCAGGCTGACTTATGTCCTGATTTTGTGCAACAGAGCAGAGAGCAACAACGGTGAAGCTTTCATCGGCTCGGTGCACGACCAGTGCACGAAGTTGTCGAGGAACAAAAGGATTGCGCTAGAGCTCGTTCTTGGCGTGCTCTCCAATTCTGGTCCTGTCTTTAGGCACCTGCCACAGGAGAGAGCCTTGACTTGCAGAATGGAGTCTGACATTCTTGAATGCTTCTGTGTTTCGTAGGTCTTCTAGACACTTTGTTGACATGCTCAAGAAGCTGGTGGGAGTTTCTTGGCAACATATGTTGGCAGCACAAGTTGAGGCCAAGACAAAGAATCGACAAAACAAATTCAGACCCAACTCACCAAGGACTCCTTGATCAAGAACAGTGTTTCGCCGATACCCAAGATCTTTGGTCTTTCTTTGCAGATCTTTGCTCTGAACTCAGCTGGACAACGTATCCAAGCACTAGACCGGACATGACCGGACCCTTGCTGGCCCATGCATTTAACCCATGCATTTGACCCATGTTGGGCATTGTTTTGCGTTCTCTGCATATCTGTCAAATCAGGTCTCGCTGATCACGAACTTCAAGGAACATTTGAGAGACGAGATAGGCGTTGCTGTCTCAGAGGTGCAACATGCGAAGAGAAAGCGAAGAATGTGTGGCACCCCCCGGAAAGAGAAACCGGCAGGAGAATCGAACAGAATCCTGCTAGTCTGATCTATATATATAGTTTGATATGTTTGATAGTCTTGTCTGAGGTATTCATCGAACAGATTTTTCTCAGAATCCTGGAGAGCGGCAACTCTGACTTCCTGCACAAAAGCCGAGTGGCGGACTCATCACAGAAACTCTTTTAAAGTGGAGCAAGCTGCAAAAGAATTTGATCAGGAGTGACACCTGCAAATCAAATTATTCAAATGCCAGTGTCACTTCCAGGTCCTTCAGATTTTCTACAAGCTCTGCACAGATCCGTGGCCATCTGAGAGCTAGAAACGGCGTCGCAGCATCGTTGTTTCTTCTAGTCCGACAAGTCCGACAATAGCTCGAATGGCTCAGGACCACACCGCTGGAATTGTTTCTGAACTACGACTGCGACGTCGATGAGAAAAACATTTTTGAACCTCAAGCCTATCAAGCGTTGGGATTGTTGTCAGTATCGGATGTATGGTGATAAGATGAAAACTTCATGAGTTAACGTGGCGTGCTATGTGGGGCCTATTTCCGTTGAGAGTTTGCAGATGGGTTGTTGCGGAGGCAGTACCCTTGTTTTTGAATTTGCATGTGCTACTTGGGCGGTCAAGCTGTTCGATACCGATGAATGGAAACCTACGGGGCAGTGTCAAGTTTCAAGAGAATGGATTTGACCGCACGAAAAGATTCCACATAGTATGTCTACAACATATTGCGGAATGTCACTTGTTCTATCGCCACCAACACTGCAATCAGATCTTTGCGCTTGTGTTCTTCTGAAACTCCTTCTGTCTTGGCTTTGCTCCAAGGAGCGAACGATCGACTGTTTGTCGAAGATAGCTCAAGGAAAGTACACAGCGGCCGTGATCTCAATCTTTCAATGCCGTCTGTCAAACATGGTTCAGAAACTAGAGGACCCCCTAGTATTCCTTCGTACTGTACTGGATTTCACAGTCTCCCACATAGACATGTTTGATCTTGGCAGCTTTGGCTTGTCGCAAGTTAAGAATGACTCAGTATGACTGCTTCAATTCGTAAACCCAAGATATGTTCACTATAGCAAGGTTTTTTGGCTGGCTGCCTTGCCGAGTGTTTGGATAGAAGAAACCTGACCTTCAAATCCAGGCCAATCTCAATACTGTGAATTCTTTTCATCTGATTCAAAAAAGATGAGTTCAAAAAAGATGAGTTCTATGCTGCCCCTCTGGACCCTGGACCGGTTCAATTTCAAGTGAACTTCAGGAAGGAAGGTCAGCAGTTTATTGGGAAGAGCATGAAGTTTCAAAGTTTGAAACTTTCTTTCTATACTAATTCTATACCCTGCAATGGGGGTCTGGAACGCACTTCCAAGAACTTCCAAGATGGCCTGATTCTGAGGTGGAGCATGCAAATTTGATCCAGCCTCAACAGGCCGCCTTTGTTCGTCCCTGGTCATCCCTTTGTTGCTTCGTGAGCTTCGTGAGCAGTTCCTGAAAAAGCACAAAGTTTGTCTGTTTTCAGCGTCCATCAAAGTGATTGAAAGTGCTCAAAAGTGCTCAAAAGTGCTCAAAAGTGCCCGAAGGAGCAGGAGCTCAAGAAGGAAGCTTTGCGATCCTTAGCACCAACCTCAAATCACCGGCCCACAAGTCCACAAGATTTGGAGATTTGGAGATTTGGAGCCGTAGCCCTCTGGCATGATCAAGGTCACATTGATGGGGTCCATCGTTGATTGGGTCAGAGCCCGAATGGATTTGGACATATTTGGACCTGATGCAGCAAGTTTTGTTCTTGGAGATCTTGCTGTCCATCACACCTGCCAGGCTCGAAGAATGACGGAGGACATGCAATGCAATCACCGCCAAGTGGAATCCCTTTGTTTACAGTATTGAGCTTTGTCGGCAATGTCGCTTTGTAGCAGGACCAGAAGCCAGTGCCTATTCTTGGCCACAACACCGAGGAAGTCTCTTAGTGTCTTTGTGATTGCACTACATGCAAATACTTGCGGAGATTTTCTCACTATTCTAACTATTCTAATTGCAATGTATTCTTACGTGTCACAACGTGTCCTATTTGGCTTGAAGGAGACCACTCCTGTGGGAGAAAGCGATGCCGAGGCCAGTTCGGCCTTGTGCACTTGCTCAGTGAGTTTCCTTACTGAGTTTACAAATGTGCAAATAAATTCAAATTACTGTGCAAACAACGGTTTTGGGATGTTTTTGGTAGGATGACGCAAGTGAAGCTGCAGTATCTACAAGTGGCGGAACGCTACCAGCCGGCCCGGCAGAATTGGGGCTCTGGACCTGGAATGGCCACAGGGCTTTACATTAAAATCATTTGACATCTAATTTATTTTGAAAGCCCTTGGGCCTGTGAATCCTTTGCTCTTGACAGGTGGCGCCCTTGAGCAGTTTCAAGGAGAAAATCCGAGGTTTGGTTTGCTGTGAACAGAATAATCAAAATATCTACCTCAACGTACATGTACATACGCACAACAATATAATACATATATATATATATACACATATACAGATACATCGATGCATCGGTATGCATGTATGCATGTGCATGTATGTAATGTAGTGTAATGTAGTGAAATGCAGTGTAATGCAGTGTAATGCACTGTAATGTGACGTGATGTGATGTATGTATGTGATGTGTCTCTCTCTCTCTCTCTATGTATATATGTATATACATACATTTATATCATACATGCATATGCACATACTGTACATGTACACATAGTGTACATGTAAACATCTTAAAAATAGGTGTTTTTCTTGTTACTTGTCACCTAGTTCAGACCTGAAGGAGCAAAAACAAAGAAAGGTGGAACTTCAGATTGGCATCAACAAGCGTTTGGCCCAGCCTGCTTTGAAAGAAACACCTGGTAGGTGCCAATGTTCAAGTTATCTTGCTTGCATGACTTGCTTGCTTGTTTGGACTGGAGGTTCAACATGAAGCCAAAACGCGGCATTGAGTATTTGAAGCAGAATGGGTTCGCCTCAGACTTACTTGGTCGCTTGAGAAAACCGCTCAAGTGGTGTCAAGTCTTTGTTGCCAGAGCCGTGGTTGCTGAGTTGAACGATGATCCAGCTTCATTAGCAACCCTCTTTCAGAATACTGAACTCGGCCGAGTCCTGAGAATCTTTATGTTCTTAGTTCCTCAGACCCTTATTGAGTACGCATTGCTGCAATTCCAAGGAACTGCCTTTTCCTGGTAATGGTCAACATATTTTTAAACATTATATCTACATCTATCCTAAACGCCGCACCGGATTTGACTTTTCATGGGTTTCTTGATTTTCTGAAAATATGCAAGTATATGTGGTGTGAAGCGGATGCTGCATATTGGGGTACCTGGGATCTTGTTGCTCACCCATTTTTCCTTTTGTACTTGTATGGGAGATTCTGCACAACCTATTGTGTGAGGCTTGACAAGCTTTTGTTGAGTCTTTCTTGAAATCTGACTCTTGTGGTGTTTCACAGGACTTCAAGAGAGGGAGAGCTGCTCTCTACCGTGCGATATTTGTTTGCATAGTTGTTGTTCTACATAGTGTTCCCCACAAATTCTACCGGCCATGAACATCCCAAAAATAAGTGTTTGTGCTCCCTAGAAGAAGAGCCTGAAGGAAAACGTGGGCTAGCATTTTATCAGTTTTGAATTTGAAGACCGGAAATGGCCTGGATATTCTACTCAAAACAGACCATATTGAGTAGATTGATGTTGATTGCTGCCGTTGCTGCAGCAAGGCCTCGACAAAACGGCCATTGGCGACTACTTGGGCGAGGAAATTATGTGTTCAGCTTCACCTCCTATCGAGTAGTGAATGCCAAACTTGGACTGATGTGCACTTGTTTCGACATGAGGACAAACCCTTCAACAAGAACGCACTACATGCCTTGGTTGGTGGATTGGACTTCAAGGGCCAGGCGCTTCCAAGACAAATTTGAATTGTAATTGGACTATAATTCGCCGCACACCGAATGTTGCCAGTCCCTGGATGGCTCCTTGCGACATTTCCTGTCCTTCTTTCGCCTGCCTGGCGAGGCTCCTTTGTGCAGTCTAAACATATTGATGAAATCAAATTCAGTCAAATTCCTTAAGTCATATTGATAAATTTTCACTTCTTTCACCTATCATGTTGGACTTAACGAGTTTCAAAGAAGTTTAGGCTCAGAAAATCGACCGCATGATGGAGAAGTTTGCCGAGAAGTACTGCAACGACAATCCTGACCGTTTTGCCAACGCGGACTGCGCATTCGTGCCATGCCTGCAAAGGAAATTAACGTGAGAGTATTTGATGCAGGCATAGGCAAACGCAAGCATTACTGTACTGTTTATTGATTCGTTTTGTTTGTTTCTGCCCGCCATAGTCTGACACTTTGTCGTCGCATGTTGAAGCAGACTGAGCCCTTGACACAGGTGCTCTCCTTCTCTCTCATCATGCTTCAGACCGATCTTCACAATCCAGGCCCTTACGAAGAATGCTTTGGCATGGAAGAAGCATGTCACGTCAATCAACGGGAGGCATCAAGAACAAGATGACAAAGGACGAATTCGTGCGAAACAATCGAGGAATCAACGACAATCAGGACACTTCAAAACTATAGCAGATTCTCAGCTTTTCTTGTCTTGGTTTGCGTTCCCATGGCTTAGAATTGTTCAAAGCCCCTGGAGTCTGCATTCGATGGGCGATGGAAGGACCTACCCAGAGAGTACCTGGAAAGTCTCTATGATGGTTTGCTCTGCTGATGATTTTGGATTGAACTCTCACTGATGCATATTGTCATTTCTTCTCAAGATCTTGGCAATGCATGGCAATGCCGCTTGCACGCAGGTGTCTTTCACAATCCAATTTCACTCCAAGAAGACCAGGAGGCGCAGGAATTGTTGTCACGGTGGCAGTGAGTGGAGAGGACTGAATCGATCTGACTCGACTTGGCGATTTGTCAGGCTAGAAATAGACAGGAATCCCAAGCCGCACGAGATCTAAACCAAAAGCCAATGCCCTAGTTGTAAGTTGACTTCACAACATCAGCGGCTCATTGTACACACCATAGTGGAGTGCTCTAATTGTGTCACTTGGCTTTGTCTGGTGCGGGGTCAAGATTCTCAAGTGCTGCAACATGACTCCACTTTTTTGAGGAACATACTGCAATGCAAATCGCCTTTCAGGTGGTGTGTTGTTCAGAAAAGGAATAATGGTGTCTGAATATCCTTGTCTGAAGATCCTTCGCTTATCCTTTCTGATTCTTAAAGTAAAGAAGGTTTTCCTTGGACGCTTGATATTTGTCATCTTGGCTTGCAATCACTGCAATCACTATCTTATTCAAAACACAACAGCAGCTCGGTCCCAATCCACTCGGCAGAAGGTTTTTGTGACAGCTGTCCATGTGAAGCGAATCATTTCTCCATTTTTGGAATCCTTGACTCAAAGGTTGTGCTGTTGACAATGGGTGGTTGGGACGGTCCTGGGGCAACCTTGGTATGCTATGCTCCTGCATACTCCTTCGACATGTTGGGTGAGAATTCCGTGAAAGCCATCGGCTACCTCCATTCAGTAAGTTGGGGCCAAGGTACGAGTTGTTCGTGAAGGAGACTGAAACGATGGTTCAGAAGACCAAGGCAACGGATTCAAATTGTGAACTTGAGACACGCAAAATAGTGGCAACTTCTGAAAAAGAAACATCGGACAAATACAAGACCTCCGTTGTGCAGACAAAGGCAATGATTGCTTGCAGCTCACTCATTTCGCTCATGCAGTCACTAGCAGACTCATTTGCTTCTTTGCATACTTGCTAGCAGCATCACCAAAACACGACTCTTGCTGCATGAAAAGCAAGTAAGAGCTCTACACGCAGCTTTTCCCAGTGAGAACCAGTAGGCTCTGAAGAGCATGTGCCGACAAAGATATTTGACTACGCTCGAAACATTCGAAACATAAGGACCATGTCAGACAGTGGTTATTCACTCGGCTCCGCCTGGTTATGCTAGGTTTCCATAGGTTTCCCGGTGTGTAGGTAGGTTTTTTTTGTTGGATACTTGTAGTAGGTCGTAGTGCTGTGTTGCACGCTTTGTTCTATCCTGGTACGTTGTGCTTGTACTGGAACGATCATTCAATCCATCACGGTTTGACTTGCCCTGTCAGTCACTTGTTCTTACTCTTGATGCCCTGATTCAATGACAACGAATTCGCATGTTGTTACGTTGTTGGCTTTATTTTTTAGCTGGCTGCGCAGGTTTCTTATCAAACGCTACAGTAATTCACAGCATTCATTGGTGCGTTCATCACCTCTCATCAATCGCCCATTTAGTCCTTCAGTCAACCAGGCGTTCAATCCTTCGGTGAAAGGCACATTCGTTCCACCATTGTAGACATGCCTAGATGGTCTCAACCTCAATACTTTGCCCAATCAATCGATCGGTCAATTGCTTACTCACACACACACACACACGCTCACACACTCTCTGTCTCTCTCTCTCTCTCTCTCCATGCGTACCCTGCTGCCTACATGTCTGCTATCCTTTGCAATATTATTGGTTCGCAGGGAATCTACTGCGTAGCAACATCACGTCTTGTCCGGCCCACACTATGAAGGCTGCAATGCAGAGCAGACGGAGAAACTCAACTTATGTGGTAGCACAAAGCCACTGCCTTAGTGTTTGTCGGCCTATCTTGGCTCACTGCATTGATCTTATTGTTATTGTGAAGGTACCCTGCAGAGTGTGCAGGCTTTGAAAAGCAGGTCCCGTCTTGTCAATTCTTCGCGATTGAACTGCCGTGCATGTATTCTCGGCAGGGAATGCTCTGCACAGCTGAGGTGTAGAGCATGTGAGACCGCTCTTCGAGGTGCTTGAGCAGCTTATTAAACTAAGCCAAAGCAGATCTGTCTCAGGACATGATCTATGCCAAAGCAGTCTAGTTTGAATGTTGCACAGGTGGCCTGCTGGCCATACCTGGCCACTTTGGCGGTACTCCTGGAGATGCAGGAGGGAAGTAGGATTGGAAGGAACTGGAACCATCGAGTACATAGATGCGCATGATACAGATGAGCATGCTGTCACCTTTGAAGTTTGTCAAGGGTCTTCTTGCTGTGTTGTCAAATGGAGTGCTTTCTTGTAGAAAAAAATTGCAGGGACAGCCTGCTAGTCTTTTGGTGTGCAGGACTCTCCGCAAAGCATCGAGCTTTGCATTGAAGGTTTCAAGCATTGCATTCGGTGGTGATCCTAGATGGGCTAGTTGATGTTTACCGATTTGGTTCTAGTTACGGTGAAATTCTGGAGCGAGCGACGGAATTGACAGCTCCAAAAGCTGCTTCATCAATTCTTCTGAGAAACCACTCATTCATTCGTTCGCTCGTTCGTTCATTCATTCAGATTCATTCTGTTGTTTTTGCTTGACCAATCTGATCTCATCAGGATTGCAGCCCGCTTCGACATGGACACCGAGCGAGATGCCTTTGTCTCGTCATTAGCAAAGTTCACCTATTTGACGACCATCAAGGCTCAAGTTGTGACAGCAGACATTGAGTTGTCGCATGTAGAAAAACGCTGTCCGGAGCCATACGAAGCCCTGGGAAGCAGACCACTTTGCCATACGCCAGGAAATGAAACAGAAGAACATTGAGTGCATCAAGGCTACACTGAATTCTTTCCATGGAAAACGCAACTTGGGTCACTTAGGTCACTTTATCCATCTTTATCCAGGGCAGGTTTGTTTCAACAAATTTGTCGAGTGCTTTCCATTTGACAAGATTCTCAGTTCGTGATACAGTGATGTGATACCCTACATTTTGGTCAATCTTCCAGCCTTTAAATGGCTTTAAGAGAGATTGCCAATTCATTGCACCTCTTTCAGACTGGAGGCCTTGCTGTCCATTGGCCTTTCTGAGGGCAACAACCTTGGACCATCCTGGTTGTATGCGTCGCGCTCAGGGCATCTATGTATTGATACCTACAGAATAGAATAGATGTAAACATGCAGTAGACATCCCTCTCTGTCTCTCTAAAATATTCGAGTCGCTTCGCGACGAGAACCGCCCGCGCCCAGAGAATTGGATAATTTGGATAGACAGGAAAGGAGTGGGCCTACTTGGCCCAACCATAGCCGACTGCGGTCAAACTTGGCCGTCCTTGGCCATAACTTGGGCTGAACAGGAGCCAACTCGGGCCCAACTTGGGAGTAACTTGCGCCGAACTCGGGCCACGGCCCAACTTGAGCCCAACTGGACGTCTAAGATGGTGCAACTTGGGCACGTGTGGATGCAAGTTGGGCTTAACATGCGCAACTTGGTCCTGTGTGGGGGGGTTCATCTGGCGCCGAAGTTGGGCCCAAGACAGGCCCAATGTGGGCAATATGGCCTTGCACGAAACCCCCTACCAAAGCCAAAAAACGCTTGACACAGCGGTAAAGATGCAAGTTTTCAGCGTGTCATAAAGAGTCCGGGCTTGAAAGGGGCCCAACTTGGGCCCAAGTTGCGCTGTCTTGGACCATCTTGGACCCAACTACTAGAGCCCAAGTTGGCGCCAATTTGTCATGTTGGGCAGAAGTTGGGCGGAGTCATGTGATGCACAGGGTCCAAGCCAGGCCCAACATGCCGCAACTTGGAACACTTTGGCGACAGCTTTGCACCAAGTTGAGCCTGACGGAGACACAACATTGGGCACATTGCTCAACACAAAGCATGATCCATGCCAAAAGAAGGTTGAAAATACACGTGAAAACCCGTGTTTTGACGATCTCGTATTGGGCCGGCCATGTGCCCCATTTTCAAGCCATGTGGACCTAGACTTGGGGTGAAGTTGCTCCCAAATGGGTCCAACTTGGGGCCAAACTGCGCCATCTTCGAGCCATGGCCGAAGTGGGAGCCAAAGTTGGGGCCTTGTTGGCCGAAGTTGATCCCAAGTGCAACCGAGGTTGCGGACATGTAGGATCGAAACGGTCCATTTGGCCGATGTTGTGCCGATCTGCAAAATGTGCAAGTTACCGTGCACTTTTTGGCGGCCGGCTGGGTCGAAAATGAGCCCCTCTGAGCTGAAGCTGTACCAGACTGACAGATCGGTCCATTCGTACCACTCGGTGCTAAACTACCACGCCTCAGCACCTTCGGTACGGGCAGATGTCTTACTCATAGAGATACGCGTACATTGTACATTAACTTTATACAAACGCATATATATATATATAATATATATATATTGTGAACAGAAGCTGGTTGCCCTTAGGGCCAGCGCGTCCCCTCTGCTCAGTGCAGCGCTGTCCTGCTGCGCTGACAGGGGTGGGGTGGGCACAAACCACTCATAGGTTATCAGCTCGCATGCTCAGCTGAGCAAAGGTGAGACCGGGCGTCTGTTCTGGGGGGCGAATGCTAAAGACCTTCCCAGGCAGATGTTTGCCCTGTAGCCCCTCAAAGGACTTCTGTTTGTGGCCTTCAAAAGTGTCACCACCAAAAAGAAAACAAATGGTGTCGCCACCTTCGAAGTGGGGGGTGTGAACAGAAGCTGGTTGCCCTTAGGGCCAGCGCGTCCCCTCTGCTCAGTGCAGCGCTGTCCTGCTGCGCTGACAGGGGTGGGGTGGGCACAAGCCACTCATATATATATATATAATATATATAATATATATATATACATACATAGATACATAGATACATAGATATCTACATACAAACATACCTACCTACCTACCTACCTACCTACCTACCTAAATACATACATACATACATACATACATACATACATACATACATACATACATACATACATACATACATACATACATACATGTATACTTCACTCCATATATTTGCATATGTGTGTATACTGTATATGTATATGTATATATATATATATATGTATGTATCTATACACCAGTAGTGCTGCACAAGGCGGTGGCGGAAGTGTCGAAGATAGGACACTATAGGATAGGTGAGTTGTTGTGATGCATGGATGGCAGAGCGAGCCCACTGCTGGATTGACAGGCGATTGGAGTATCGGCGTATCTATCTGTCTATCCATCTGTCTGTCTGCCTATCTATCTATACGTCTTTGGATCTATCTATCTGTCTATCTATCTGTCTTTCGATCTATCTGTGTCCCTATCGAGTTGTTTTTCTATCTACCTACCTGTCCCTCTATCTGTCTTTCTATCTATCTGTCCAATTATCTATCTGTCCAATTATCTATCTGTCTATCTATCTGTCTATCTATCTGTCTATCTATCTATCTATCTATCTATCTATCCATCTATCTATCTATCTATCTATCTGTCTGTGTGTCTGTCTATCTATCTATCTGTCTATCTACCGGTCGATCTATCTATCTGTTTGTCTGTCTATTTATTTATCTGTCGGTCTATCCATCTTCCACCTACTTATCCATTTGTTAATCTATTCTTCTGCCTCTCTATCTGCTTAGCTGTGTCTGTATCTGTGCATTTATGCGTCTGACAGGCTATCTTTCCGTCTGTCTTTCTCTCTGTGTATTTATCCATCTGGCTATCTGCCTATCTGTCCATTGGTTTATTTGACCATCTGAGTATTTATCTATGTATCTATCTATCTTTATGGTTATCTATTCATCTATCTTGTTAAAGTCTTTGTGACATGATCGCGCGAGAAGGAAAACATTGGATATCAACAAGACAACGGATTTGAAATTGTAGAATTGTATTTCAACAAAACCCTTTCTTTACGGTTCGCTTCCAAAACACTTGTCCTTTCTTCACAGACTCCTCTGCTTGAACCTTTTCAAAAAACCGTTTGGAACAGAACCACGTTTTGGTTTGGGACCCAGCTGTTTCAAAGCGATCGTGTTTTCAATGTCCAAAATTAGACTTGACACAAACCAGCTCCAACGGATCAAACACAGTGATGTCCCATCAAGTATTTTTTTTTGGGAATATCCACTTCGATACGTTGCCTCCAGGGTACGGCGTAGCGTTTTTTCTTTTATTACGCACCTTTATTTTTTTCTTCTGACTCTTTCTCTTCTCTGATCTTCTTTCTTCTTTTCTTCTCTTGACTCTTCCCACCTCCTTTTGTTCCATCCGCCCATGTTGTCGGAAGTTTGACTTCTAAACTTTTTTCGATAAATATATATACCATACAATCCCATACACATATGAATAGAAATACAATACGATATATGTCTACACATGCAAAACAATATGAAATAACAGTATCTACTATATAATATGATTCGGTTTTGCGTAGCGCTGTATGGGCAGATACTTGTGACATCGAAACGAGGGGTTTGGCCGAAAAACCTCACATGGATGTGTGGGGTGGATAAGTTTGCTCCGTTGGTTGTGTTGGCAAAAAATCCAAAACACAGACATTGGCATGACTTGGTCCCACGCCGTTTGCCACCATCTTTCGCTTCGGCCTAACAACTGCAAAACCACAATCTTGCAGTCCATTCACTGCCGCAGCTGATTTCCAGCATGCGCAAAAATAAAGGAGAAGGAAGGTCAGCAACGTGGAGAGTACCAGTCAGTGGAAACACAATACAAAAAGAACTGGTTGAGTGGGCTTGGCAATCTTGCTGTGCTACGTTGACCGTCCAATGAGAGGAGCGACCCCCTGTCTTTTGGTGGCTTTGTCACGACCGTCCCAAAGTGAGTTCTCGACTATACGCTCTTTTGTCTTTCATTTCTTACGCAGAAAAGTGTCGGTCATTTCCTCTGGCATCTCAGCTTGTCCATTTTGTTACTCTTTGTCAGTCCACACATTCACATGTAATAACATTGTCATCAGTGCATCAATGTCGACTCACTTCCTGCCACTTTCATTAAATCTGTTTGTATTTTGTATTTAAGGGCTGCCGCCCCTGCCGCCGACCCCGGAAGAATTGGCAAGCCGTCAGAACGTATATATGGTACAGGCCTGCACCCCCCCCCCAAAAAAAAATGGGGAAAGGATGTTCCTGGGACAGTTTTACACGCATTGTTGCCTGTTATGGTTTTTATGTTAAAGGGGAACGTGCGTTCCTTGGTGTTGATGTTTTTTGTGATGTATGTTGTAAGACATTTTTGGTAAAAACGTTTCATCCTAACCTTGTTGATTATTTTAGGGGAGTATCATTGATTGGGTCAGGATTTGTTGAGGTTGTTAGGGTTTTAAAGTTTTCATTTTTTCAACTAAGATTTGAAAAGAAGGGAATGTATCATTAAGATTGTCTATTATTTCTTGATGACTTAACGGTTCTGTCACTTCTTCATTGTTTGATTGTTTTTGTGTTTTTCCATTATCTTTTTGTTTTTGACCGGAATTGTTGGTTTGTGCTCATGGTTTTTTCTTTCCATTTCTTTTTAGGATGGTGTGTCTGACCACCCTTGCGTGAGTCGTAGGCTTCGCAAGGAAAAAGGCACATCGTAATAATTGGGTTTGTGAAATGGAAAGAAAAAAACATGGGCCCAAGTCAGCAGCATCAGCAGCATCATTAGCTTCAGCATCAGAATATATATATATATATATATATATATATTGTTATCACTGTTACAATTAAATTATTATCAGTATTTAGTAGATGAATTTGGTGAAAGCATGGGGGGTTTTGATCTTGTGATCGTCCTGGTGGTAGCTACAGGCAAAAAGAATTTAAGGTACTGTATCACATCATCCTATTTGAGTTGGCATGTTTGTTAACTTACCCATTTTTCAGGTTCAGCATGGGGTTCATCCCGGTATGGTGTTGGTGCATCCCAGCTCGTAGCAGCAGTGTTTCCCATGGTTTTGCAGCGCTTGTCTTGGCGATGGACTGCTTCGCCCTCTACTCGAAGGAGGGCCGGGTGAGCGGTGGATTTTGAACGGCAAGATGTGTGATTTTTTGCGAAGCAAAATGGGGAATAAACAGAGATACGATGATCTGGTTGGTGCGTTGGAACATGAATTTTATTTTCCATATATTGGGAATTTTACAACCCCAACTGACGAAGTCATATTTTTCAGAGGGGTAGGTATACTACCAACGC